GTCCAGAAACCGCTCCCTACTCCTGCCTTGCCTGGCCTTGCGAATCGTGTCTACGTTGTGCTGCGCCTGCCTGGCGCTACCGCTGCTGCACCCCTCAAACTTTCCTCCTACGCTCGCTACCGAGCCGTTGTTGGTCAGCTTGAGTCTGGGGACTCGATTTCCCACGCCTTCGCCTCGATTGCCGAGGCTTCCGTGTATTGCGAGGCCGCTGGCTTCGCTCTCCCGCCTCTCCAGCCAAGATGACCCTGCCGACCCTTGGCGGAAGAGGGGCTCAGCCTTCAGGTCCTGACCTGGGACCTTCCCAGCCGATACGTGCAGTCGACGCAGACCTACGCGGCCTGTGATGCGTCGCAGTGGCGGCCTGCTTCTGGCCATTCCTTCAGGCTTCTTGGCTCCTTCGGCCCTGGTCGCCGCACAAGGCGTTGCCGACAATTCCCTCCTCGGACCTTCGAAGTCTGTCCATCTCCCCATGTGTGTCCTGGACGAGCAGGGGGAGGAGCAAAGCTTGGACATGGAGGTGCCTGTTCTCCTTCTTATAGATGTGGGAGAAGAGGCCGTAGCCCTGCTGCAAGAGTACACGGGAGAGACCGAGGCCGCGGGCATCTTTCCTTATGTGCCGACCCAGCCAGACGCTTTGCCCATGGCCGAGGCAACCCTTGTTGCGGCCCGTCTCTGGCTGTCGGAGGTGGACTCCCAGAGGATGGCTTTTTTACTCTGCAGCCGAAGGCCCAGACGAAGCATTAGGGTCGGAGGATGCTCCTGCCAAGCCGGCTTTGCCTCCGAAGCACAAGGCCAATGCCAAGGCCAAGCGGGTCACTACGGCCCAGTTGGCGGACCAGATCTCGACCGTAGCGGCTCTGTTGCCTCAGCTTTCCCAGCAGCTGTCGGACATGCAGCGGAAGCAGCAGGAGTTCGAGGGCCGGTTGGCTTCACAGCCTGCGCCTCCAACCGTGCCTCCTCACCAGCAACCCTTTGTACTGCCGAAAGGGCCGGGCCTGCCTCTGAAGAAGCAAGCTGCGCCGCTGCCTTGCCTCCAAGCCTGGAAGACTCAGACCCCTTGAAGCTGTGCAGCAGACCCAGGCCCTGTCGCTCTTGGTCAACCACCTAGTGGGCCAACAAGACGGGCTAGCAGACCTCGCCTCTTCGGGCTTCGTGGCTTTGAACGCCAGAGGTTCGGGGAAAAGAGAGAAGCTGCAAAGCTCCTGGCCAACCGCTCGGGGGACTTCTACCTTCTTGTGCTCCAGGCTGCCTTCAAAAGGCTTTACCCCTCCACGCCAGTGCCTGCCAGCCTCGAGGAGATGTCGGGCAACAGCTGATGTGTCACTACCTCCGCGAGTTCGGCGGCTTTGCTGGCCAGAAAAAGGTTGGACTGACTATGTGGTCCCTGGCGCATGTGGCCGACTGCCTGACAGATGGAGACACAGCCGGGGCGAGGGAGCACCTGGGCCTTCTGCTCGTTGCAATGGAACAGAGTTGCTTGGACCAGGGTCGCTGGGACCTTGCGTGGCTTTTGACGCTTTTGGAGGACCCGCCGCCCTCGCTGTGCCACAACAGGGGGGCGGGTGCAAACCCACGTTCCCGAGTGTTTGCGCCTTTCTGTCCGACCTCCTGGACAACAACTGCGCTTCAATACTTAAAGGAAGTGGACCTCATACAAGCCCGCCGGCTAGAAAGCTTGGGCTTTTCCAGAGCCTCGGCCTCGACGGCGCCCGCTTCGGATCCTGTGGCAGACCCGGCTCCCACGAAGCCGCGCCGGCCTCGCTTTCCAAAGAAGCCGTGCAAAGTGAAGCCCGCCACGGGCCAGCCTGCCAATGCTTCCTCCCGGTGTGCCTGGCTTCCGCCTCTTGCACCGCTGAGCTTTGATACAAGAGTCACCTTTGCTTCCTGGACGGGGCGTCTCCTTCGCTCTGTCCTTCGGTCCCGCGCAACGTTTGCGGGTTTTTTGCTTTCTACTTTGCACCTGTCCAGGCTTCCGCCTGAACGGCCTTTCGTGCGCTCTGGCAATCTGTTTCCTTTGCCTGTCCCCTGTCCCGGGGCTTTTTCGCACTTTCCTGCTGAGCTTGGCTCCCGCACTCGGAGGCGCATCATGCACAGGCGCCTCCTGCACATCACCTGCATGGCCCTCAATTTCCTCCATGCCAATTTTGTGCCAATACCTTTGCCTTTGCTTCAGCGGCCCCCCACCCGTGCTCAGCTTCGCCTGATTGACCATGTGGGGAGGCATTTGAAGGCCTTCGGTGCCTCTGTCGGTGACAGTTCGTTGCCGGACGCTGGCCGCCGCAATCCCCAATTAATTGCACGCTTGCGTGAGCTGAGTGCTCGTGTTACCCAGCTTGCCCCTAGTGGTTTTGACCGCTACAGCATGCTCGCTGGACACGCTGTTCCCGTTCAACTCAGCACAGCCTGCACTTGAGCCCTACCGCTCGCTCGATGTCTCCCGGCTTAAGATTTCTGGACTTGGGTCCTTTGATCCTCTGCCCTTTCTGGGGGATGAGCTTTACATGGCCTACGTTGAGCCCGACACTTTGCTGCATGGCCTGCAGGTGCCCCCCTCTGTCTGCCCTGACTGGTCCCGAGAGAGCGTTGACGAGACCGTCTCCTTGGCCAAGCTTTGGGACTCGAGGGGTTTGCTTTACCTTGCCAGGCCTCTGTTCAGGGTCGGGGATGAGTTCCTCCTCTCACGGGCCTTTAACTGCTACAAGAACGAGCAGGTCGATCGTCAGATCATTGACAGGAGGGGCCGCAACCACGCTGAGGCTAGGCTGCCGGGGCCTTCCCGAAACATCCCCACCGGCCCTGACCTTGCCTGCATCGTCACGGCCTCGAAAGCTCGTGCGAATGCTGTCGGCCCTGCTGTCCCTGCTGCCGCCCTTGCTTCCACAGGTGCCTTTGCCAGGTTTGAGGTGCCAGGTCGCGTTACCTCCGTGAGGTCCGGGGCGACTGCCTCGCTGACAGCCCGGATGGTTTGAAGCCACTCCTGTTCTCCCCTGACTCTGTCGTGGTTTGTTTCTCCGCCATAGCGCAGGGAGACCAGCTCGGGGTTGAATTTGCTTGCGAATCGCATTTCAATCTCCTCCGCCAGGCCGGCCTTCTTGCTAGCGATGTCTGCCTTTCTTCGACCGAAGGGCTGGTCATAGACGACTACTTCTGTGTGTCCGTCGAGCCTGCGCGTCCTTTTGGGGAACCTGCCTGCATCTCGGCCCTTAAGGTTGCCAAAGAAGCTTATTAGCCGGAGCAGAGCTGAATTCTTCGGCCGGTGCTCGGGCGTTGGGCCTCGTCACCCTCTCGGCGCCTGCCAAGAAGAGGGCCGCCCTTTCCCTCATCTCCCTCGAGGTGTCTGCTTTGTCACACACCTCTGATGCTTTGCGCCTTAGCCTGCTGGCGGGGTTGGACTTCTGCCCTCCTCTTCCGGAGACCTCTCATGTCCGTGCTATCCTGCTCCTATGGCCTGGTGCGGGCTGACCGCTTTGACCCTCGCTACGCCAAGCTTGTTGGACTTCCACGCGGGGTCGCGCACGAGCTGACGCTCCTGGCTGTCTTGGCCCCTTTGGCTTCGAGTGAGCTGTCTGCGCCCTTGGATGGCGCCATTTATGCCACGGATGCTTCCGAGGACTGAGGACAAAGGCGCCTTTGTCACTGCCGAGGCTGGCCTCCCTCTGGCGCGCGTTCTTTTCCGGACCGGCTCCAAGAAGGGGGGGCTACTCGCGCCTGCTTGCACCTGAAGAGGCCCTCCTCTCCAAGCTGTCTGACCCTGAGCCTTTCCAACTTAGGGCCGTTGATGCACCGCTTTTGGAGATTGAAAGGCCTCTGGCTTTCGTGTATGACTTCATTGAGGTCTGCGGCGGTAGTGGCCGCGTCTCTGCTGAGTAAGGCTCGTGGCTGGGCATGCGGCCCTGTGCTTGACATTTCTCATAGCCCTCACTTCAACCTCTGCTGGCTGCGCACTTTGGAGTGGCTCCTTTTCCTTCTATAAAAACTCCCGACTTCGCTCCTTTGCAGTCGAGCCCCCGTGCACTACGTTTTCTCCTGCGGCCTTTCCGGCCCTTCGCTCCTACAAAGAGCCCAGAGGCTACAACCCACTTGAGGAGCGGACGCTCCACGGCACCATCCTTGCTTTGAGGGCCTTGACTTTGCTTTTCGTCTCTCTTCGATTGGGCGTGCCTGGCATTCTTGAGCAGCCTCGCCGGTCAAAGATGGCCTGGCTTCCGGAGTGGAAGCGCCTCCTTCAGCGTGGTGCGACCGAGGCTTACACTGCCTCTTGTCCTTTTGGCAGCCCTCGCCAGAAAGAGTTCCGCTTCTTGCAGGTCTGCATTGACTTTGCGCCGATCTGCCCTCCTTGCTCCAGGGACCACGAGCATGTGCGGATCGGGGGCAAGTACACTGCACCTTCGGCCAAGTATACCCCCCTTCTTGCTAAGGCCATTGCCTCCGTCTTTGACCAGACTCTCCGTGTCAGGAACTCGGCGCGCAGCCTGCTTGCGGTCAGAGCAGACGGCCTAGAGTCGCTGCTTGCCAACGACGTCGCCCTGAACCTCTGCTGGACTGAAGGGAGGTCATGGCACTGGAGGGGGCGTTCGCGCATCAATATTCTGGAGTCCGCTTCCCTGCTCTGCCTCTGCCAGCACCTGGCTAAGAAAGGCCCTTGCCGTGTTGTCGTGCTTATTGACTCCTCTGTGGCTCTGAATTCGGCCGCCAAGGAACGCAGCCCCTCACGTGGACTTGCCCCAATCCTTCGCAGGATTACTGCTACCTGCGTCGCTGCAGGGCTTCATGTCTCCTTCCATTTCTGCCCGACACGTTTGAATCCTGCAGACTGCCCCACAAGAGACAAGCCTCTTCCTGAGCCGCTCGGCCGGTCCATCGCCTCCAGCTTGGACTTGGACAGCCTTTACGAGCTCGCTACCCTGCCGAAGCTCCGCCAATGGGCCGCCAACTGGTCCAGACTTGTTTGCCTGCTTTTGCACGCACCTCCTGCTCTCCAGCCCAGCCGTGGCTGGCGCTCTCTGCGGCGCAGCAGTAGGCTTTTCGACTCTAGCTTAGGTTTTCCTGGGGAGGGTTTTGGGTTTTCAGGTTCAGGGTTCTGCTTTGCCTGCCTCTTGCTGCTTGCCTCCTCTTGTGCCATGGCGCGCTGGCTCCTCGGGACGCTGCGGACAAGAAGAGACAAGCTGCCAGGACTGGAGCTACGCTACCTCTGGGCAGGCCCGTCGAGCACCACTCAAGACCGGCGCTGCTGAGGGCTTTTGAGCGCTGGCTTTACCCTCGTGGCTGCTCCCTGGACGACATATGTGGTGTTGGCCCTCAGTTTGTCTCTGAAGCCAATAGGCGCCTGGCAGACTATGGCCGCGAACTGTTCCGAGCTGGATGGCCCTACTCTCATGTTTCTGAGGTTATAAATGCCATTTCGGCACGGGAGCCGAGCTTGCGTCGCTGCCTACAGCCCGCCTGGGACGTTGCCTTTGCTTGGTTGAGAGAGGAGCCGCGTACCCATCATGTTGCCCTGCCTTGGCAAGGGCTGCTCGCTATCATTGCTACTGCTTTGATGTGGGGGTGGCCCAGAACGGCTGGCTGCATTGCGCTTACTTGGGGTGCTCTTTTGCGGATCGGCGAGACTTTGGCTGCCACCCGCAGTGACCTCTTGCTCCCTGGCGACGTCGAAGACACTTGTGGTTACGCTTTGCTTTCGATCGCTGAGCCCAAGACACGGTTCAAAGCTGCTCGCCACCAAGTTGCTCGACTGGACCAGCCGGACTTACTGAAGTTGGTCGTGCTTGCCTTCAAGGACCTGCCGAAAGAGGCCAAGCTGTGGCCTTCTTCTCCTTCCACCCTACGGAACAGGTATGCTGCCTTGGTCAAAGCCCTCGGGATGCACCAGCTCGACATGCCTTCTGGTAAGCAGCTTGACTTAGGCTCTTTGCGGGCTGGAGGCGCAACGTGGCTGCTGCAAACGTCCGAGGACTCTGAACTGGTGCGCAGGCGAGGCAGGTGGCTGAACTCGAGAACGATGGAGATCTATATTCAAGAAATAGGGGCTCTGATCTTCATGCACCGGCTGAACCCCCGAGCGAAACGGCTAGTGTTTGGCGCCCTCGGGTCTTTTGCTGGTGTCGTTGAATGGGCTGAGATTTTTCTTCAAGCGGGAGTTCACTCGAAGCTCTGGTTCCAACTGTTCTGTGGAGGAGTCGCTTCAGGAGTGGGAGTTGTGGGAGAAAGTTGGGCTGACACGTCTTTCTTTGCACACAGCTTACGCAGTGCAAAAAAGTGTGCGCAGCTGTTACAGCAACCGTTGTTGAGCACCTGCATAGTAGGTGCGATTCAGAGGTTGCCTGCTCAAGCAACCCGCCCACCGCGCCCTCGTCCTCCCAGAAAGTTGGGCTGACACGTCTTTCTTTGCACACAGCTTACGCAGTGCAAAAAAGTGTGCGCAGCTGTTACAGCAACCGTTGTTGAGCACCTAAACAAAGCGTCCTCGGCACAAGACTCCTTGCCAGCTACCCTGATGGGGACTGATAGCTGCACTGGGCACCTACCAAAGTTGTTGGGGTTTACTGCCACATTTGCGATGATCATGAAATGAAGAGTGACCTCCCCGCTGCTTGTGATGGAGGCACGCTTGTTATGTGCAAGCCAAGCAGAGTTGACAGTATTTTCTGTGCTGTTGATTCTTCAGATAAGCGGGAAGTGTTTGGTGGCTGCAGATCGTGATCAAGTGGTGAATCTGCAGCTGCTACAATCAGCGCTCTCTTTCTTTGCGTTGTGGTGGTGATGAGTATAGTTGCCGGAAAGGGTGCCCGGCACAGTTTGTCTCCAGCGATTGTTGGGTTCAGACGTGCTTGCAGATAGATCTGCAGGCAGCCTAAGCTTGAGGCTCACCGCCTGAAAGCTTTTCCTGCGACTCTAGGAGTACGGGGATTTGCTCGTGCTGTTGTTAGTGTGTTGGTGCTGTATGCAGGGAGTCCTCACTGCAACCGTCAACACCTTCTTGGAGTTGGCAAGAAAGAACGCGAGGCCCACCCACCTTCCTTGAATCGTTGAATCTTGCTGCAACCGAAAGCCCGGGAGGAATTACTTGTCCCTGGTCCCGCAGCTGTACCACGTCTTGGCCGGACTAGCAGCATATTGTGGGGAAGCTCTGTATGGTTCACGAGGGGGTGAAGCTGAAGTCAGCACATTGGAAGATGAGGGTCAGTGTTTGTGTGCCCTTATGAGCAGTGTCGCTTTGCATGCCAAGAAAATTCAGTTGGCCAGGTCAATACCAGCAACAACTGGCTCTCCATCAAGCTGCTGAAGGCATCAAAGCTTTCTTCCTGCTTGTGAGGGTAGTCTTGCCTGCAGATTCAGGTGTTTCAGCTGCTGTCGCCACTGGAGCCTCGACTTCCAGCCAAGTTGGTGGAGCAGTTTGCTAAGTTGCTCAGACACGCAGTAGCTGGACCAGCTGCCCTCAAACTGATGCACCGAGACCGCTCACCAACATTCTGAACACCACAAAGGCTGATAGGCACCACACCGCACAGACCTCGTTCTGTTCTAGCGCATCAGGCCCAAAGTGTGGAGTTTGAAGCTATCCGCTGCGTTGTCCGCTCGATGCCTGAAGGCCTCGAATCACGAAAGCATGTTGATAGCCAAACTTTTGTTGCTGATATTGGCAGGTACCGCGATCGTTGCCTTGGCAATCGAAAAACTCCAGGCTCGCCAGCAAAGACAACTCGCGCAGCTTGCATCAGCTTTGCGCGCGCCAGCTTGCACATGCCGAGCAGAGAGGCCTTTCTGAACTCCTCGGACCGGAACTTGAGGCTTTGTCAAGGCTTTGTTGCAGCAAACATCATCCACCTGCATCATCGTGACTAGGTATTTGGCTTTGGATTTATTCAGAGAAGTTATCGAGAAGTTCAAGGAGAGCCATGTAAAGAAGCAAGCATCAACAAATTTTGTTGACCGTGCCCAGGAGAAGGCACCTGTCAGCGACCTGCACGACAAGGTGCTGACTTCCATAGAGGTCGGTGGTCCGTGCAGTATGCCCTTCAGTACTTGTGCTGTCCACCCTCTGTTCTGTATCTTTTGTCAGCAGAATGGGAAGTCATTTGAGATCTTGTCAGGAATCAGATGTCACAGCTCGGCACATTGCGCTTGGTTCCCAGCAAAAGCTGCTTTGCTTTGCGATGCAAGGTATAGTGAAAATTTGCACGAAGGCTGCAGCTTTTGGACAAAATTGTCCATCCCTCGAACTTTCAGGAGGCTGTGAAAAGGAAAGTCTGTTCTGGAGACTTCATACGGCTGACCTTGCGGATCATGAGCAGGCAGTGCAACGTCTTCTTGAATTTAGCAGGCCGCCTCTGCATTCTCTACGATTCCTCCAACATGTTCTACCTCGACTCAGCACGGAAATAGTCTTGGTCATGTACTCTTGTTCATCTTCAGCGCAGGAAGGCGATGCCCAACGATGAGTTCCTTGGAACAATTCTTCGCATGGGTTCAAGGGACCGCTATGCATTGGTGGAGGCGGATTCCCAACTAGATTCCAACTTTTTGCGCATGTTACTCTGCGTGCAGAGGACTTTGCCTGGTACCTGCTAATCCTTGGTGAGATCAGCAGGCCACAGCAAGCATTTCAGGATCTTTTTGTGATGCCCTTCTAGAATCGACTGTTGCCAGAAACCTGGACTCGTCGCACGCAGAGACTGTTGCAGAGCAATTCGTCGACATCTGTGTTCGGGTGCCGCAAGTTTCGACCTGAGTTTGTTTATGATCAGATGAGCCCTGAATGTGTCGCTTGCTTGTCAAGGTGCGGCCATACGCCGTGCGCCGGCTATTGAACCGAGCTTGAGACTGGGCACACCTGAGAGAAGCTGCCAGGTCACGCTAGCTCTGAGCCTCCTGGATGCCCCGTCAGCCGTGAACCCAGACATCCCAGACATTCTGAAGCTGAAAAGGCTGAGTTGCTAACTTTGCCAAGCGCTGCCAAGGCTGGAGACGGGGCGGAAGGTGCAGACAAAGCATCGCCGGTGTCAAGGTGCGACCTTGGCTGCTTCTCTGCTTTTTGTGAGACGTGTCAAACGCAGAAACAGTTATAAACCGTGCCAGTGCGATGATCGGTGCTTGTGCCTGGACTTTGGGGGAGTACTGTGGAGACCTGGAGAAGCCGGCAGAGGTGCACAGGTAAATGTTAGCTGAGGAAGATCAGGGAAAGCAAGCGAGCAAACCCCTACGTGTTGGGTCAGAGGCAATCAGAAGCCAGATTCAGTGAATGCCACAGGCAAGTTTCCTCAGCGGCGCCCGATGCCTGCTTGCAAGCAAGGGTATCCAGGCAGTCTTCCTGGACGATGCATTCTTGCCTTCGCTGGTGTGGCCTCTTCAGAGCCCTACCGCCTTCAGGCCTTAGATGCATACATTCAGACGAGATGTGTGTGGGCAGCAGCCCTATACCGCAACATGCAAAGACTGCTTGTTAAACTTCTCCCTCACTTTGCAAGGCTGCAACGAAGCTGTACATAAATGCCCCGCATCATGCCCCGGATGCAGCAGTGACCTCATTGAACTGCTGGGAGATGTTGTGAGTACATTACTACGTGCCTCAGCTATTCCTCTTTAATACTAGCAATGAGGTCTCGCAGCTGCACGAGATGCTCAATGCCAGCCTTCCTGCCTTTGTTCGCTCCACTCATGTGGATGTCGCGTCCTCACATGCCACCTGCGGGCTTTGATATTTTCTTCGAGTTCTGACCTGGACTGGTAAAGGTTTCCGAGCGGTCGTCTCTTGTTCTTCACATGGCCAGCTTCTTCAAGGTGCAACCTTTCGTGCCGAAACGCTGTGACTACTTGCTGTAGAGTTTGCCATCCAAGATCATCGTGTTGCCGTACGGCTAGCGAGCTAGCCAGGGAGTATTGTGAGGCTTTAGCTGCCCAAAAGGCAGGCACAGCGTTGGCACCTGTACAAACTGCCAGGTCTTAGACAGAGCTGCTGATGTGGCCAGATTTGGGCTTCCCCAAAGTGCTTGTTACAGCTTCCCCAAAAGGCCTTTTACGGAGGATGAGGGTTTCAAGATGTGCATGCGGCCCATGTCATTTTGGCACAACAGCTGTGCAGGCCGTGACAAAAGAAATTGTCTTACAGTGGTGTGAACATTCCATTCCGATCTAGTAGCTTTATTGCTTCGCACTCCAATAGTGTTGTTTGTTTTTGTTCTGCTCTCTGTCTCATCATGACTTACCGTGCTTTCGAATCGAATCCAGGGGCAAGCTCTGATTTGATTCCTCTGTTCTTCTTGATGAGGCGGATGGTGATCGCATCGCTGATGCGAATACTGTGCTGTCTGAGCCATTGCTGCCCGTCAAGGCTGATGCACAGGCACAAGCATTCTTGTGCTTTCAAGGAACGGCTGTTGCATTTGCCTAAGCTGAGGGTCAGCACAGAGGGCAATTATTGAGTACCCTCACGTTAACCCGGATATTGCAGAGAGGTTCAAGCATGTACTTACAAAGCGAGGAATTGAAAGATCTTCCTTTGGATATGTTTGAGTCTTCTTCTATGAGTTGCCTGGCGGTGGCAATGGAGTAATTGCAGTCAAAGGGAGTGAGCACCGCGACTCCACATAGGTTCCTGGACCTGTTCTTCCAAAGAATGAATCGTTGGAAGAATATTTGAAGAGGGCGCCAAGCATTCAGCAGCAAGGGCGCACCTGAGTGTACACCCTTCACATATGGAAGTAAGGCTTAGTAAGGCTAACAATTAGGTCGAGTGACAGGAGTAGGCTTCGTGGTGAAGATCCAGAAATCGGCAGGCGATGTGACGAAACGATAGGTGATCCAACTGCATTTACTGTCAGCAGTCATTTTTTGAAGCAACACTCGGTGTTCAAAACAGGAGGCAGGTGATATAAAGCTAATTTTTAATGCTGCTGGGCAGGCACAAGTCCAGCCGGCGATAGATCTCGATGAGCCCTTCTTTGCAAAGGAGGCCGGGCTTCGAGAAGAGAAGGCAAGCATGTTTCATGTGAGCACTGGATTGCAGGAAGCGCAGCCGTCATTCCTTCCGGTTCGCATGAATCTTGGTTTGCTAATTGCTCTTGTAGTGGCGATGCCATGAGTTTGGTAAGAATGACATGAGGCGCGGATCCTACAGATCCCTACTCCTTGGCTTCAACTTACAAGGAGTCAAAGATGGATTGCTCTGCAACCTCTATGAAAGTGTCCATGGACATGTCGTATCTGTTGTCATCAGGATGATTTGGGCATTCTGGCTGCGCAAGAGCCCGCAAAATCTGTGACGGGGCACGCTGCTCAAGAACCCTGAATGTTGAGACAGGCAGATGCTGCGACCCTTGATTAAGGCCGCCATCACAAGCATCTCAGTCATCCATTTTTTACCTGGGCCAGTCCAAGGACACATCACATGGGCAACCGTGAAAGCGTCAAAGAGCTCATATTGTTCAGGAGCAGGTGCCAGCAGAGGGCACAGAGCAGGCAAACTGGGCCTACATTTTCTTTGTGAGACTTCTTGTGCCAATCTCTTAGAGGCAGAGCCGGCTCCAGATGCGCAGGCGCCAACTTGTGGGGCAATTTACAAACTGCACGGGGTTCATGGCCTGATCTGAGTGGTGAGAGGCCAAAGATCCTTTGGCTCAGATGCGCGAGCGCCTGGAAGCTCAGAGAACTTCTTCAGCCTCAGCGCCAAAGTACCAGGCTTGACTCAAGCATCGGTTATGTTGCTCTCTCTCACCGTCTGTCAAGATCCAATTTTCTTGCCAGGTGATGAGGGAGGAAGTGTCAGTCCCAGGCTTGCGTGAACCAAGGTAGAGTGGTCTCTGTCCACAGGTCGAATGCCTCTCAGAGTATGCTGTTAGATTCACTGTTAGATGGCAGTATTTCAGAGCTTGTCAATTATGTAGTGTACCTGTATGCAATCAGTCTTGTTGGCAGGCGGTCTAACCAACAGCATTGGCCAGGCCAAGATGAGCACAGAGAGAGAGAGAGGGGTGGTTTTCCGACCGTGAAGCTCTACCGGGGCTGGGCAATGAAGCCCGGAGTGGCACCTGCCACTCCATAGCCCGAACGAAAGAAAGAGCGAGCAAAGCTAAAGCAACATGTCAGGAAGCAATTTCTGGGCAGGTTCCATCCTCAAGCTCATCAGCCAACGCCCTGCCAACTCCACCTGAGAAGGTCTCAAATCGTTGAGCATTTGCATATATTTGCATGTTTGAAGTATAAGTGAATGTCGCACAGCATGCCGCTTGTCTGATTGAAGGAGCTGACGGAGCTGCACGGCCGTTTGTGGACATGCCACCGCGGAAGGCACATTGCCGTCTACGCGTGTGTGAGATCGCACAACTTGAGGCCCCCCCAGCATTGTCCAGCATACCTTGCCTTGCGACTTGCCCTCTGATCCAGGAAGCAGCAGCTTCGGATAGATCTCCGATGCGAGCGAACGGATGTGGACTCTTCACAGACGCGCTCGCGCATCTTAGTTTACAGGCTATCTAAATTATTCAGTGAGTCTCACATGCCAGGGTGGTCTCTGACGTAATGATGAGCTTCCCAAGTGCAGTGACGCTCTTGGAGGCCAGTCACAATTTCTACAAGGTGGAGCGCTCTTGTGGCCCCAGTTGCTCCCCTCACCAGGCCTATCTCCTTAGTTACCGCATCCTGCTTCTTGCCTATACCACGAGACCGACAGTCCCCGGCTCCCAGGCAACCTGGATCCTTTAAATGCTATCTCTGTCCTTTTCCGCAACTGCAACATCAAAAGCATCATTCTTCTTCGTTCTCGCAACGTCCAAAACCTGCCAATTTCCTGACTACACAAAACTGAGGCCGCCAAGGCGTATCTTCCCAAATGGCTACTGCTCATTGAGGACTTTGATGAAGAAATGCGCAACCTGCTTTCAGGTGCAGGCGCCGGGGCTGGTCTTGGTGCAGGGCCCGCTGCAGCAACGCTCCGCTAAGGTGCCCAAATGTGCTCACAACCCTCAAGCAAAGGAGAGATTTCTTGCAATCATTTGAAGGTGAAAGCCCTGGTTAGCACAACCAACTTCAGATCACCTGGTGCTGCGCGCTCAGCATCTCGATAGAGTATGCCACAGAGTCAGGTGCTGCTGAACTTGTAGCCGTTCCAGCCCTGTCTGCTGAGGTTGTTGCCTTGCGTTGTGAAGTGGACTACAGCCTGGCATCCGAGAGCCCAGCTCCCCAAAAACCAGCTTCGGCAAAAAGTGATGATGCTTGAAATCAACGAAACTTGAGGTGAGGAGGCAAAGCAGGAGAAGGAGCCCTTTGAGCCAGGACCTGATGCGCTCGCTTCATCCTTCTCCCAAAGCCTGTCTTTGACCACAAAACTGTGTTTCGTTTCGGATTTTTCAGGTTGCAACTTCCTGCTACCACTTGCCCTTCCCTCAGACGCGCTGTTCCCTCGTAGGGGGACCTTTCTGCCTTTGACAAGGTTGATGTTCTGTAAGACTTGCGACACAAATGCCCTTGTAACATGAAGTAATTCTGGAAGAGGATGGCAACACGATCCGGAAAATATACAGCAATGAAGATTCTCAGGTACTCCAGTG